GATGCCACCACAGCCCCTCAGCCCGCCCTGGGGGAGAGGGAGCTGAGTTATCTTTCATGGAAAAAGCGCGTCCGATCTTATCAAACACGGGGAAAGGCACTGAGTGGAGGGAGTGCAGGAGAGGTTTGATCCGGCCTCCGTGTTCTCAGAGGGGCGGAGGAGGTGTCAGAGACTCAGGAGCTGTCTTTGGAGCTGCCCCCCCCCCTCGGGGCCTCACCATCGCCCTCCCCTGGGACCATGGCGGCTGGCTGTCACCAGGGTGTTCATGTTTCCGATCTGGATGGCTTCTGAGTTCTCAAGGGAAATATGGGAGCTGGGCTCACTCTGAAGGATCACGTTGAGTGGGTTCTCCTGTGGGTTCTCACAGCACACCAGCTTCCTCTTCTAGAATCTTCTGCAAAATAAAATCCCACAGAATCCCGTTGTGCTTCTTCTAAGCATGGGTCAGTACCCCAAGTCCCCAGATGCCGTCCCGGGGTGTGGGCCAGGGGTCGGGAGGGCCCCCGGGACCAGCCTGGCTTCCTTTCACACCTGGGTGGCAGACACTCGGGCTCTCGCGCGGAGCCTCGCTGGGAGTCTCCCCAGCAGGCCCCTCCTGTGTGCCTTTGCCGCCTGGCCCGGAGCCCTTGTCTTTCGGGGGGGGCCCAGCCGTCCTGAGCCCCGAGCCTCGAGCCTCCAGCCCTGGGCCTCCCCCCCCAGCCTCCACAACACACAATAGCGCTGTGACAGCCACCCAGGGCCATCTGGTGTAGGAGGACTTGAACTCGTCCCGTGAAGTAGAGGAAGGGTTGCAGGCGAGGACTGAGCCACTCTGAAGACAGACACGATGCTGGCCGCCTCCTTCCTCCCGCTCACCGCAACCGCGCATGCCCGGAGGACGTGGCCCTGCCCAGCCCAGCCTGGTCGCCTTCAGGACACTTGGTGTGTGTGTGTGTGTGTGTGTGTGCACACGCGCGTGTGCCCGTCCTAGGGCTTGAACTCAGGGCTTGGACTCTTGTCACTTAGCTTTTTTACTTCAGGCTACTTTAGATTACTCTACCATTTGAGCCATAACTTCACTTCTAGCTTTTTGCTGGTTAGTTGGGAAATAAGTTTCAAGGCCTTTCCTGCCCTGGGCTGGCTTCGAACTGTGATCCTCAGATTTCAGCCTCTGAGCAGCTGGGATGACAGGCGTGAGCCACCGGCGCGGGCTCCTTAGGTAACTTTAAAGCCCCGAGTCAGAGTCGCGCCAAAGTCAGGTTGACGGGCGCCCGGGCGGGTGAGCTACGGGGAGGCCAGGCTCCAGGGACCTCAGCCAGCTCAGGACGCTCTCCCTGCCGCCGCCGCCCTCCTGGACCCCCGGGGCAGTGCAGGGTCTGCGGGGGGGGGGAGGCGGCGCTGGGCCGAGGCCCCGGGCACCACGGCCGCCTGCGCCGCTGGCCGCCCCTCTCTCCGGGGCTGGCGTGACAGCGCACAGCTCAGGGTTCATGTCCTTCACCGTCGTCATGTCCAGAGCTCCGGTCATGTGTAGCCCAGCTCGGCTGGTTGCCTTCCAGAAACGCTAGGATTCTCTCCTCTGGAAAGGGGTGGCCAGGGGGGCGGGGAGCCCTACCCCGTGCCCTGTAGGAGGGGCTGTGGTCCCAAACCCTTACCTGTGGGAGGGCAGGGCGGCGGGGCGCAACAGGACGCGGCACTCACCCTGTGTGCTGAGCTCAGGGAGGGCCGTCCGCGGAAGCCCGTCTCTCTGGAGCCTGGGAGCTGGAGGAGGGGCAATGATCCCTACCGGATGGGGACGGGCTGGCCCATGGCTGGGCAGGGGTGGACCCTCAAATTCTGCCTGTGGCTCCCGTGGGCCCACTTTGGCTTCTGTAGAGAAGAGGGGCTGCCGGGCCGCGAGCCCTGGCTACTGCTGCCAGTATTATTATTATTGATTGTTATTATTATTATTTGTTGATCGTGGGGCTTGAACTCTGGGCCTGGGCGCTGTCCCTCAGCTCTTCAGCTCAAGGCGAGCACTCTTCCACTTGGGCCACTGCACCACTTCTGGTTTTCTGGTGGTTTATTGAACCGGGATCCTCAGATCTCAGCCTCCTGAGTAGCTGGGGTTACAGGCAGGAGCCACTGGCACCTGGCTATTACTATTATTACTGTTGTTTGCAGTTCGGGGCTGGCCGGCCGCGCTTGCTAGGCGGGTGCTCTACCCCTTGGCCTCCCTCCCAGCTGTCAACAGCTCAGATTGTGCTCATTTGCCCAGGGAGCCTCAGACTCCCAGAATCCTGCCATCTCCACTTCCTGAGCGGCTGACAGGGGTGCGTCACGCCACACGCGTCTCTGTGCTGAGTTTGGGACACACCAGCTCTGTACCAGGGCTGAGCCCGGGGTGGCTGGCCCTGACCAGGCATCTCCAGCGACCGGATAAAGAAGAGCACCGAGACTGGTGCTAGGAGCCAGATTTGAACCCAGGCCCCAATCTGGGCTGGAGGGCTGTCACCAGGCCTGGGGTGGCGGGGGGGGGGGTGCAGGTTACCTGGGCGGGGCGGGGCCGGCCCCCTGGGAGCTGCATCTCTGGGGGCGCCGCCGCCAGACACCACGCATGGCAGACACTGCAAGGCAGACACTGGCCTCCACCCGCATGTGGCAGAGGACGGGGTTCGGTTCCTTTTGGGGGACGGCGCTCCTTGGCCAGCTGGGGGTCCTCACGGGGGAGGTGGTGTCCTGCGGTGCCCACAGGATCTTCTGCTCCAGGGAGGGGGGTGTGATGGGAGCAGTCGTGAGGGGCAGGGAGCAGGTGAGGCTTGGGAGGCTCAGGGAGGGGCTCCCCGCCTCCCCCGACAATTGCCGTCACCTCAGAGCCAAAGATGAGAAGGCTGGCGAGTGCACGGCCCCGGAGCCGCGCTCCTGGCTGTGTGTGCCCGGGCGCATTCCTTAACCTCTCTGGACCTTGGTTTGCCCACTTCTCCCCAGGGGGTGATGTGCATCCTTCAGGAGTGAATCCAGCTGAGCCTCCAGCCAGAGCCCCTCACCCCCAATCCTGGGCACTGCTGGTGCGCATGCCTGGCCTGGAAACGGGGTCAGGGCGGCCAGCGACCCCCAGCCGGCTCCCGTGCAGAGGACAGAGAGGCCCACCGAGAACCGGCCCTCGGGCCCACGCCTGCCTTTGGGCTCTTGGTGGAGGGGTGCCCTCGCCCTCACCCCTCCGCCCTGGCAGTTTTGCCTGGGAGGGGCAGGGTGGGAGGGGGTGCAGGGCAGAGGGCGCCCGTGGGCGGCTGCTGGGCACTGGGCCTCACGTCGGGGGTGAGCGGGAAGCAGATGCCTGAGCCGCAGGTGGACACACACCCGTGCATCCAAGTGAGCTGGGTGAGCCGCCGCCACTGCCGCCGCCGCCCCACGTGACAAGTGCCCCTCAGGGACTGAGCTAGGTGTCAGGCAGGTGTCAGGCAGCTCACCCCTGGGCCCTGGCTGGGGTCACCAGGGTGCCGGCCAGGGCGCCATCCTGAGAATGACCACCAGGTGGCGCCACCAACACCCCCCACCCCCCAAAAAACACACACACACAGGGAGTCCAGGGGTCCTGACCCTGGGATGCAGGGCTGGATGCCCCTCCCTTCCCGATGACCCCATCTGGAAGCATCAAGACCCTCCCCAGCCTCTCCCCCTGGGGCCAGCAGCAGGGACCTCTGAGTCGGGAGAGGCCCGGCCGGGGTCCCGAGAGGGACCCCCACATTCAGCCTGGAATTCTCTCCCGTGTAGATCGCCTTGTCTTCCTTCTCGCAAGTAAAGGCATTTCCAAGCTGATTTTTGAGCCCAGGGATTGTCTCCAGCCCAGACAGTGGTGGCTGGGACTGTGTAGGAGGGTCTGTCTGTCTGTCCTTCCTGGAGGGCTGTGGGCAGTCCGATTCGGTGCGCTGTCCTGGGTCCTCTATTGCATCATGTGTGCCTTCCAATGGCAGGTTGCCTCAGGTTCTGCGATGGCTACCGGGCACCAGCCCTCACACCTGCGTTACTTTGGTCTGGAGGGAGTGAAGGAGAGAAGGACAGCTGTCTCCCTTGTAAGAGTGCATTTTGCAAGTTCAACGTACTTCACGGCAGGGAGCAGGCTCAGCCCTCCAGGTCATGACGAGTCCATCAGAGGCTGCTTACCAGAGAGGTGGCGAGTTCAAGGCCAGCACCGGCCTCCTCAGAGCCGCCCGTGCAGCCCGAAAGGCCAGGGGCAGAGCAGCCATCAGGACGCGAGCCTCCTGCACCAGGAAGAGCCGAGGAGCCCCAGGACCTCCAAGACGGCACCAGCTTTTCCATGGTTCAGGTTTTTCTAGAAACTATTAGAAGGCCTGGCCCAAACCAGATGATACTCACACGTGGCCGATCTCCAGCCTTCCGGCTCTGCTCTGGCGATCGTGCACAGCCTGGCGAGCCCCAGCTCCTCTTCCTCGGGGGCCTGGGTTTTGTCAGGTGGCCCTGCTGGACATGTGGAGGCTGAGCTGTCCGCGCAAGGGGCTCAGGTCAGAGACCCCAAAACCTGCCGGAGGGGACACATCACCAAGACTCGATGGAGGAACAAACATCCCAGCTGGGGGCTCCCGCCTGTCATCCCAGCTACTCAGGAGGCTGAGATCTGAGGATCCTGGTTCAAAGCCAGCCCAGGCAGGAAGGACCCTGAGACTCTTGTCTCCCATAAACCACCAGAAAACTGGAAATGGCGCTGTGGCTCAGGTGGTAGAGCACTTGCCTTGAGCTGAAGAGCTGAGGGACAGCACCTAAGCCCAGAGTTCAAGCCCATGATCAAACAATAAAAATAAAAAGAAGTTAAAAATCACTTTTTTCCTTGTGCTGGGTTCTGGGGCTGGAACCAGGACCTTGCACTCCCTCTTGGCTTTTTTGTTCAAGGCTGGTACTTTGCCACTTGAGCCACAGCTCCACATCAGGGTTTTTGGTGGTTAATTAGAGATAAGAGTCTCACGGACTTTCTTGCCCAGGCTGGCTTTGAATTCTGAACTCAGATCTCAGCCTCTTGAGTATGACACTCAAAAGTTCGTTTCTAAGCCGGCCCTGGAGGCCAGGCCCGTGAGCCTGGCTCTCCAGGCTGCGGCAGAGGACCGTGAGTCCCAGGCCAGGCTGGCTGCGTAGCGAGACCCTGTCTCAGAAGGAGAAGAAAGTCATTTGGAATGCGCCCACCGAGTGAGACTCTCACAGACACATTTAATTATTTTGAGCTCAATAAAAAGCCTTTTAATGAGCTGAGAATCCCATCATGATATTAGCCCTGGGCTCAGTTCGGGGTGGGGGGGGGGAGCGGCAAGGGAGGAGGCCCCAGAAGGAGAGGACTGAACAGCCAGCACCACAGAACCACATAATCTCAGCACCACAGGATCACATAATCTCAGCACCACAGGATCACATAATCTCAGCACCACAGGATCACATGATCTCAGCACCACAGGATCACATAATCTCAGCACCACAGGATCACATAATCTCAGCACCACAGGATCACATAATCTCAGCACCACAGGATCACATAATCACAGCACCCAGCACCACAGCACTCAGCACCACAGAATCACAGCACCACAGAATCACAGCACCCAGCACCACAGCACTCAGCACCGCAGCAGCCGCAGGAGTGAGCTGCACAGAAACAGGTTGATTTAAAAAATCATTTGTTCAGATAAATTTTGTCCCACATCGTTTGACGACGAAGCTTTTGGTCATACTTTGCTTTATTTTTAGAAAAAGTTCTTTTGCTTTCAGAACAAAGTGCTGAACAAAACCGCACCAGCTGGCGCGGCCCCGCGGGCTCTGCCCAGCACCAGCACCCACTTCTTCATGTCTGGAATGTTCTGTCTCGGCCATACCTGAGCCTGGAAGCTGAAGTCACTTCGGCCCACGCCAGCTGGGGTCAGGACTGGAGGGAGGGGCGGCCCCGCCCCCCGCTGCCGAGGAGCCCCCTCCCCGCAGGACGCCCGCACGTCACTGTGACCGCACAGTGACCAGGGGACACAGCAAGCCGTGTCCCAGGCCCGGCGCCGCTGGCGTGTGCTGAGCTCCGGCCGCTGGCGTGTGCTGAGCTCCGGCCGCTGGCGTGTGCTGAGCTCCGGCCGCTGGCGTGTGCTGAGCTCCGGCCACTGGCCTGTGCTGAGCTCCGGGGTTAGCTCGGACTCGGCTGAGACACCAGACTGCACAGGAGAGCACTCCGTCCAGCCCTGGGCTGCACAGCCCGCCGTGCTGAGCACTTCTGGCCGTCCTAGGGCCGGGGGAGGGGCAGAGGCCCTGGGAACCACACGGATTCCAAGCTGGCATCCAAACACGAAACATGGAACAGCACATGCGTCCTCCTCCCCCTCCCTCCCCTCCCCCTTTCTCCCCCCCTCCTCCTCACCGGGGCGGCCTTCCTTCTGCTGGGGACAGATGTGCGATTCTGGCTCTAGAAGCTGGAAACACAGGCTGAAGCCCAGTCCTGGGGCCCCAGGATGGCGCCCCGCCCCGGCCGGCCCCGCCCAGCCCCACCCAGCCCTGGCTCTGCTAGGGGGAGCAAGCTGGCCTTAGCCTCAAACCTGGACAGCCCGGGACTCTGGAGAGAGGCTGGCACCTGCGCGGACCTGGCCTTTCTCAGGGGACGAATCTTTCCCCAACAGCGGGAGGGGCTGAGCGCAGGTGCAGCTGCTCCCTTCTCTGAACTTGGGCTGGAGCTGCCGACCCCCCAAGGCCAGCCAGGTCCCCTCAGCCTCTCCGGGGACCCCAGTGGACGCTGCAGCGGCCCAGGCCCGGAGCGGCGCCCTGGGCCCCACGGGTCACAGGGCTTGAGCTCAGCCGGGCACCGTCCCTCGGCTTTCCCCCTCCAGCCTGGCCCAGCGCCGCTTCTGGCTTTTCGCTGGTCCGTTGGAGGTCTCACAGGCTTTCCTACCGAGGTCTGGCTTTGAACCGTGGTCCTCCGATCTCTGCCTCCTGGATCACAGCCAGGATCACAGGCACGAGCCAGCGGCCTTGGCGGGCTCTCTCGGACCCTCCCGCCAGCATCCACGGGGCACGACCTTCAAGGGGTGCGCCCGCCCTCAGGCCTGGGCAGCCTCCCCCCTCCCCGCCCTCTTCTCTGGCAGGACACAAAGCTGCACCACCGGTGTAAGACTCAAACAGCCGGGGGCCCTCCGGGCTGGGCCTGAGGCCCACAGACAGTCACACGCTGCTGGTGACAGTGCAGGGCCGTGCGCGGGGCGGGGTGGGGCCCTGCGGCGCCGACACAGCAGCCGCCCTTTGTGGACAGGCCTCGGTGCGACCCTGTCCAGGAACACCTGACCCTCCCCCCCCAGGCAACAGACGCTTTCCACACAGGGCAGACACGGTGGGCGCCCAGGGGACCCCACAGCGGCCACAGCAAACCCTACTGTTTTCTTAGCTGGCTTCGAGATGCAGTCCTCACATCCCAGCCTCCTGAGTCGCTAGGATGACAGGCGTGCGCACGGGCACCCGGCCCTGAGAACCCTGTTTATTTATTTATTTATTTTTTGCGTCCGGTCATGGGGCCTGAACTCTGGGCCTGGGCGCTGTCCCTCAGCTCTTCTGCTCAAGGCTAGCGCTCTACCACTTGAGCCACAGTGCCACTTCCGGCTTTTTTCTTTTTGTTTATGTGGTGCTGAGGAATCGAACCCAGGGCCTCGTGCATGCGAGGCAAACGCTCTACCACTGAGCCACCTTCCCAGCCCAGCCCTGTTTAGAAGCGTGGAGAGCAGGTGTGCACGGGAAGCTCGTGGCCGGCCAAGCTGCAGAGCAAGTAGGTTCCAGCCTGGGGTACCGGAGATTAGAAGAATCCACATCCACCTGCAGAGGCCCGCGGGCAAGCTTTCAAAACGGGCTGATTTTCAGGGAAGAGGGAAGTAGCTGGCAGTCGTGGCCGCTTAGCGCGCTCACTGGCACTCAGGTGAGAGCCAGATGCGTCTGGCACAGGAGCGGGTGGCAGGTGGCTCCCCGCTGCCCCTCGCAGACCCCACCTGCACGGTGGTGCCTGAGTGCGCCCCCAGCTCGGGGCCTTCTAACCACGCCAGGAGACCGGGGCTGAGGGCTGCCGCGTTGCTATGGAAACACTGATAAACAGCCCCAAAGGAAACCTTTTGCAGGTGGGAAGGAACGTGGATGCCTGGGAGAAGGGGTGCATTCTGGGGTGTGGGGCCTTTCTCTTCTCCCAAGGGAACCCCTCTGGATTCTGGGAGCGACCCTGGCTCCTCCATGTCCTCTTGGGCTGGGTGGGGGGAGACCTGTTTCTCTGTCACATACAATGAAAGATGAGGCTGTGGTGAGACCAAATGCTAACACTTGGGCCCTGTGCCGAGGGCACTAAGTGCCGCCCAGGCGGCCTGCTCTGGCCAGAGCCACCGTGCCCACGCCCTGCGGCCCCGCCCGGCCAGGCGTGGCTGTGGGGCCGGCAGTGCCCACTTGCCCAGCAGGCTCTCCTAGCTTATCCAAGAGGAAGAAAAATGAAGACTCCTTCAAGAAGAGTTTATTTTCATTTGCGAAAAGGCAAAAACAAAAACAAAACAAAACAAAACAAACCCCACCCCCAAACCACCTCCAGGAGGCTGGTGCCTCAGAGGGCTTCCGGCTTCTTTTTGCCCACAATCCGAGGGTCCCCCTGGTCCAGTGGGGAAATGTGTCCCCTCTCGGGAATGTGTACTGTGCAGGACGGGGTGCCCTTCTGCCAGGGCCTCTCCAGACTGAGGGGACGGGGACGGGGGATGGAGGGCGGGGGAGGGGGGGGGACCAGGGCAAAGGGACCAGGAGACCAGGGG